CAGTGGGTGTTCTGGTGATGTAACAGCGGCGCAAAGCATGATGATGCAGCGATGATCATTGTTAATTTTCCTGGATATATCGATGAAGTGAAAGAATATGGTGGAGAAACAAGATAAGAAACCGTGCGTTCTCGGGAAGGTCGACGTGGCAGTTGGACTGGGACCCTCCTTCAAGCTTACGTGGGAAAGAATGTGCTTATTATTATACTTGGGCCTCATGGGCCTCCAACATGCCATGGGCTTTCTATATCCAAATTTCATAGTCATACCGTACAGAGGAAAGCGATGGTGCGTATAAAACTCTCGAATTCAGAGCGCTTGACAGCTGCTTCTTCTTCTTCTACCTACCTTACCTCGTCTCTTTTCCTCCGGCGAGGAAGCAGCACGTTCACCGGCAGAAATATACCTATCTGGGCATATTCCTCTTTCTACGTTTTACCGTCTTCATCAAGATGGCATCACCAACCGGTCTGTTAATTTGTAAATATCTTTCTATGTTTATCAGCAAATCTAATTAATTACTTACTATTTTTCATTCCTCTTCTGATAGAGGTCTCGATCAAACCAACGATGGTGAAAAGGCCTAAAAGCTGTAGATTCACAGCTAGCAAGTTGCTGATATGAAAATCCCGGCTACGGGCTAAGGTTTAGGCAGTTTTGAACGTGTGTAGGTTCCCTTTCTGTTGATTGGTTAACTAGTTATTCCAGTACTGGTGTTGCTTCATTCGCTGCTGTCTGTTTTGATCCGGTAATATGGCGTTTCACTTCTTTAGTTACAGTTTCTTTTAGATCAATCCTGTCCTGTTGTCATTGTGACTTTGCTTTTTCGAATTGAGACTAATACGATGATACATCATTCATGGAATCTTACAAATAAAACTTACTTCATTATCCTTTTACAGAAATTGATGATTGCCTGTTTTTTCACAACTGCCAACTGTTGTTTTTTCCAGCACACGACTCCCTTGCAGGGTGGGTATGAACGATGGTATTAATACCCTTTTTACATCTCCCAAGACCAGAGTCTAGGCTCTGATGGAGTAGCCATCCTTTGTAGCATTTAAGTCACAACCTTCGATGTCAGATTTTTCCTCCTACTACGCAAATTCTGTTTCCTTTTGTTCACTTCTTTAATTGTTTTCACATTTGCATGACCTGGACTGGATCCATCTTGATCTCTCCATCTTAGGTATTGCTATTGCATTCGAAAGTTTTCATCTGCATCTGCATGCCATGCTTTCTTTTCTAGTGAATAAAGCTGATAATGATGCAAGTACAAGGGCTACTGATCCTGTCCTCACCTAGCTGCAATATGTCAAATTCTGTAAATTAAAGCATTGATTTTCTTGGCTAATGAACTATCTAGTTCATATTTCTATTCATGATGGATTGATAAGATGGCTTGTTATATTCTTTTAACAGTTACTTGGCAAAAGAAAAGTTCTTGATGGGATATCCTTTGTTGTACCAGCCGAGAAAAGTGCGGCAATTGCTGGAACAAGTGACAGTGGTAATTCTTTGGTACTTAGTCTGGCAATTTGTAATTGTCATATAAAACACCCTTTCATTCTATACACTTCTTACTATTCTCCTCACAGAAACCTTGATATATCTAAATTTGCATTTGCTTCAGGTAAGTCAACCATATTCAGATTGCTGTTCAGGTTCTTTGACACTCATTCTGGAAGTGTCAGAACAAATACTTTCTTTATGCTAGATTCTGATTCCAATATGATTATGACCCTTAGTTATGTCATACATGATATCAACCTTGGAGAACTTATGTTTTGTCTGGGACCATTATACTTCGACTTTGACTTGCTTGTTGAAATCAATGATTATCAATCCTCTCCACAAATAAGGATTGATGGCCAAGACATACAGGATGTCACATTGGCCGGTCTGTGGAAGTCTATTGGTGTTGTGCAACAGGATACCGTAAGTTAAAAACTACAATTCAGTGTTTCTCTTTTCTCTTTGCTCATTTTTATGTAAGTGACAGGTACTCTTCAATGATACCATGTTTTACAATATAAGATATAGCCGTCTTTCAGCAACAGGAGGAGGCATGTGTTAATTCTGATATCAAAGCATTCACTATTGATCTCAATTATTTTTTCATCTTAACATTTGTTCCATTTAGGTCTATGAAGCTGCTCAAAGTGCGGCAATTGATGACACTATCATGAACTTTCCTGAGAAATATTCAGCTGTGGTCTAGGAATGGGGGCTCAAGGGTGAGAAGGGTACAGCTCTTGAGCTAGTTAAAATGTTAACTACTTATGATTTGGGGAATTTGATGCATCATTTGGGGCATTGACTGGGCCCAGGCTCAGGTTTCTATCTTTAATTATTTATTATTTTCCCCAAAGAATGGAAATTAATTGATGCTAATATAGATCATCTCTATATATTGCTTTCTATTATTGTGTAACTGTCAATGATTTTGGTGACTTCTCTGTTCAGTTAAGCAGTGGAGAGAAAAGCGTGTAGCACTAGCTCATGGCCTCATGCATTTTTGAAAGCACCGCCTATTTTGTAAGCATTCTTGTTTTCTTCGTGATGGAACAAATATATTGCAATCGATAAACTTGTTCTCTCCTTCTCTTCTGTTACGGTGTGTTTGCATGCATCATCAACTACTTTTCATTTTTGTCAACTAATGGAGATTATTATATGTAATTTTGCTCCATATTCTTAGAAAACTAGGAAAACAAGAAAAGCATAGGTTACTTCTGTCTGTTTGGCATATTCTAATGTATGGTCTTTATTCCTTTTTAAAAAAATTTTTTTTCTCCTCTTCAGGCTTTGTGACGAAGCTACAAACGCACTTGATAGAACAACCGAAGCAGTGATATTAAATGCATTGACATCATTAGCAAATAAAAAAACCTCAATCTTCATTGCTCACAGGCTCACAACTGCAATGGAATGTGACGAGGTAAGCATTGTGTTATAAACGCTAGAGCAACATGTCTCTTATATGGTACTGGTTTTAAAAATGTATCCATAGCATTCCCTCTCATGCCCGCAGATGTGTGCCGTATATGGTTCACGTTTGTTTTCTTACACATTACATAGGAAGCCACCTGTTTATTGCATTGGTAGGCAGAGAACTTTAAACATTGGAAGGATTTGTATGTTTCACTGTCAAAGCAAACTCATCCTTCCTTGACCACTCAACCAACAAAACGAAGTTTGTTTCAATTTCTGTCAAACTTTTAATGACCGGGTAAACACATTAATCTTGGGTCCCTCATTTCTTCAGTCATAAAGGCAAACTGCGCGGACCTGCTATATGCAATATTGTAATTAATGTAGACATTTATAGCACAAATACTTGGAAAACACCGGTGTTCATGTCATTTTTCTGACTGACTGTTTTATTAGGGCGTGTATGAAAGCTGTCGTGGTTGTCTTTACATGGATTTTCCCTTTGGGCCCAAATACGGTTAAAACCAATTTTTAGCCCCTCACTTTATAAAATTGATAGGTTTTAACTCATAATCTTATAATATGACACTTTTAACCCTTTACCTTATAAAATGAATAGGTTTTAATCTCTCACCTTACAAAATGGATAGGTTTTAGCCACTTACTGACATTTTTAACCCCTTATCCATACGAATTGAAGAAAATAACTTCCACTTAACATTATGTTATAATATTCTGTTAGTTATGTTAATTGATTGTCAGTTTTGTTAGCTGACTATTAGTTTTGTTAACTGACTATTAGTATTCGTTAGCATTTCGTTAATTGAACTAACAAATAAAATTGAATTTAAATTGAATTTAAATTTCATGTTGTTAATAACGAAATACTAATAGATGTTAATAGTCAGCTAACAGAACTAACAGAATGTTATAATCTAATATTAGATGAAAGTTATTTTTTTTCAATTCATATAGGTGAGAGGCTAAAAATATCACAATATAAGGTGATGAGTTAAAACCTACCAATTTTGTAAGGTGAGGAGTTAAAACATACCAACTTTGTAAGGTGATGAGTTAAAACCTATCAAATTTGTAAGGTAAAGGGTTAAAAATATCATATTATAAGGTGAAGGATTAAAACTTATCAATTTTATAAGGTAAGGGGCTAAATATTGGTTTTTGCCCCCAAATACTTGTCCTTAAAGCTTAGCCTCTGAGAAATTTTTGCCGAAGATGATACCCTCACAACAAGGTTATCTTTTGTTGTTGTTGTTTATTTTTTATTTTTTATTTTTTGGCAATTAAGGTGTTTTTGGATCTATTTATGTGTATTTTGAAACTAATACTTTTTTTGTTAGGCCATTCATGTAGGAACTAAAAAATTCATGAGAAATAACCTTTTATTAGCCCTTTTTAAAGAATTGAACCTAAATCAATAACGTGAAAAGCAAATCCACTTGTTAACCATATCACAATTCTTGGAATACAAGGTTATCTTTTGTTATTGTATTGGGAATTAAGAGTAAGTTACTTGCTTACATAAAAATTTAAAGGTTTTTGGAATGCTTTTTAGTCATAATTTGTTTAGAAAAGTACTAAAACAAATAGTAATTTTAATGTCAGTTATATAAATAAATTTAATTAGATAATTAATAAATTAAATATTAAATTTTATTTTTTGAAGAATCTTAGTTAATATTCTCAAAGTGCATGTTAAAAAAAATTTAAAATTTAAAATTTAAAATCCTGATATTAACATTAATTAAAATTTTTAAATTTATAGATATAATTTGATTAAACTCTTATTTGTCTTAGCAATAAAAGGTAATGGTTTGTTGTTTTTTATTTTTAAAACTACAATGTAATTTTCATTCAAAAAAATAAAAAGGAGGACTACAACGTAATGCAAGAAGAAGGTTATTCTTAGAGTTGGACAGGGAGACATGGATTACACAAAGAACAAATAAGTCATAGCCACGTGCCATGTTACTCCTATTTTAAGGAAAAAAAAAACTGACACATAAATGGCAAAAAAGGACAAGCATTTATTACCAAAAAAAAAAAAGGACAAGGGTAAATCTAGACTAGATTGAAGCGAAGATATCATGACAATACATAATGAATCACGCAGTAAAATATTGGGGGAGTGGGGTGGAGTGGAGTGGAGTGGAGTGGAATAATAAAAATGATGAAGAAAACAAGCTGTCATGGTACTGCTTAGAAATAAACAAAAGCAGCTACTATTAAAAAACTCAGCTGAGTTGTACTTGCCTCCTCGTTTAAAGATAGGTTTAAATATCATTTAGTCTCTTAACATTTTACTTTGATATTAAAATTATTTTTTAACTTTAAAAAATATTAAAATTATTCTTAAATTTTCATTTTTGATATCAAAACAACCCTTCTATCAGTTAAATGAACAGTTAGCATGTTAACTCGCCAGCAAATTATGTTTTTTTTCTTAACTAATGACATTGGAAAAAAAAAAAAACATAGTTGGCTACTTTTTTATGAGTTGGCATTTTTTAGCGATATTTTTTTTATCCACATCATTCTTTCTTCCTCTTTCACTTTCTCTCTCCTTTAACTTTCCTTTTCCCTTATTTTTGCAAACCCAGATCTGGGTTTTCTCTCAAACATCATCTTCTTCCTTTCCTTGTTCATCCTTCTTCTTTCTTCTTCTTATTCTTTCTCCTCTTCTCCTTTTTTCTTCCACTCTCAAAAGAAATATAATCTCCTAAAAAATAAATCTACAAGATATATAGTCTCTACAAAAATAAATCTAAAACTTTCCATCACCACACTGGTAGTGTGTGCAAAACAATTGGCTCAATTTAGATCTAGTAGCGGATGTATGTCTTTGAGCAAACTGACAACCGACTGCATCGTGGGCCTTTTCGCAAGTGACTTCGTTGTACACAAGCACCTAACTTGGAAACTCTCCACCATTTCATTCATTGAGTCATCGCCCAGTCTCAGCCTCAAGTCCAACACCTCAATCCCAACCCCTTCCTTCACCAACTTCCTCGCACTTCACACTCTCCTCCGTACCCTGCGTTCCCGTCAATAGCTCTATCAAAATAACTCCAAAACAATACACGTCAAATTCGGTGCTGCTTTGGTTATTTCCCTCATCATCTCTTCCTTTTCCGCACCCAATGTTTCCAATCCTGATGTCGACGATGCGTGGCTTAAGATTATCAAATAGAAGGATGTTGGATGACACCAGGTGACCGTGGGTGGTGCCAATGTGATGTAGGTAATTAATGTGTGAAACCTAGATTTGGGTTTGAGAAAGGAAGAAGAAGGGAGAAGAGAGAGAGAGAGAAAGAATAAGAAGAAGAAAGAAGAATGATGAGCAGGGAAAGGAAGGAGGAAAGGAGGAAGAAGATGAAGTTTGAGAGAAAAGCCAGATCTTGGTTTGTGAAATCTCTTTGTTATTGCCAGATAGACTACCTAAATCCTCAAGAATTTTTTTGAGAATTCGACAATATACGATGATAAATCATGCATACATGTCAGGATGAAGAATAGAACA